CACCAAGTCCCCAACCCCACGCCCACTTCTTTAAAATCTCAGTCGAACGAGCGCAGTGAGCTGAAAGGGGTATATGCGACTGATAAGATGAAACAGCAAAAGTTCCATATTATGAGGCTAGGTCATTTTTCCCACATATCCCCACTGTCCTCATCATCGACCATCCAGAATCCCGAATACGGCTCCTTCTTCTTTCAGGGCAAACGACCACCTGTGAAGGAATCCTCGACTGTGATTCACCCTTCTGCATACGACAATAGATTAGGTTCAGTTCAGTAGAAGGGAATAAACCCCAGCACAAGAATTACCATCATTTGTTTCAAATAAGTAGACCCCTAAGAGTCATCAAAAACCGTGAAAGACACTCCAAGAAGTAGCCCGTAAATGGAGATCACCATACTAATGCTGCAATGCACTTGAAGAGAACTTTTTATGTAAACACACATCCTTGCTCATTTATAGCAATTAGGCGCTTTCGACCGGTACAAGACAAAGGTTCCACACAGAACTTTTTGATCGGTTTTTTTTGTTAACTGCTTTTTAACGCAGTTCGCGTTGCGAATGTTTCACAAGAATGCTGGGTTGTGAACAAAACTTTCGCCCCAGGCGGGACTAGAACCCGCACCTCTCGCTTTCCGGGCAAGTGCGCTACAAGTTACGCTGCCGGGAGTTCGCCCAACTCAGCTTTCATGGTGGAAGCTATGATAATGTATACCATAAAAAGCTGAGTTAGGGCGAAACACTAGTAGCTTAACTCGAAGCGGGTAGGCGGAAGGTGCGGGTTCGAGTCCCGCCTCGGGCGAAAGTCTTGTTAATAGCCCAGCATTCCTGTGAAGCATCCACACAGAACTATTGAAAAATGCGTTCCGTCCCGAGCAAGGTCAGCCGTGCGTCTCCCAACTGGAGCGTGGAAGGGAAATATCCGAATTTTTATGGTGGACTCGTCTTTTGGTTCTTGTAATGGTGATGGTGACGACGAGGAGGGTAGTATTCGAGATTTCTAGAGGGGTTCGAGATGGTGAAATTAGGGGACGTGTTCTGAATAAAAGGGCCGTATGAAGGGTGTCAATAGGCAATTTTGGCGAATACGTCATGAATGAGGCAAAGAAGCAAATTGAAAAGCATCTGTCGTTTTTAGACCTACTTCCTTGCTCCCCTCCCTCTTCCCTTTCCCCTCAACATACACACATTAAACAGTGCTAAATGGATGGTGGATTTCATAATTCTTGCGCTAAGACAGAGAGTATTAGAAGCAGCACTCCTCGTACAAGTCTCTATGCAGCAGGGAAGAACGAGCACCACTTCAAGCAGTATCCAGAGTCCAAAGGAATCGGGATGTGGCTTTTTCGTGACTAAAGGTGCGCTCGTTGCAGATTATCATTTGATAAGGTATGCCACTTCGAGCGCGTATCCAATAATTTTCTCATGGAATGCTTTATCAATCAAGGTATGATCTCTGGTGGTATGATGGCAGCTATGGTTTAACCCTTTCGGCCCTGGCGGTGGCAATTGCCACCACCAAATTCAAACGCTTGCATTGCCGCTGAAACAGCATGGTTTTTCTAATCCTGCTAGAGGTTGCTTCAGTCAACCTTCCCCTTCCTAATTATGAGCTAAACCTGCCATTTCATTGTGTGTTGCTGTTAGTATTACAAGTATTTGTGTACAAGTGCAACAATGAATGGGCGCTGACCCCCGCAACCGGCCAAGTAAGTGTGACTTTTTCTTAAAATACTTGAAGTAGATCCATTCCTAAATCAAAATTATGGGTTATAATGTTATGCAAGATTATAAACTTTTTCGGCATAACTATGAAATTTCGAATTGTTTCGACATAAGCTTAAAAACTAAGAAGGTGGGCCAATTTTCAAAGCTTCTTAGTTTCTTTGTTTGTGATCGAATAGCTTCCAAATTTCGCCATAATGATACCTATATGCTCACAAGTAATAAACAATAGCTAGAAGAAAAATTTCTCCACGGGGAAAAATTCAGGTCCGAAAGGGTTAACGAGTGCCGACGACCTCTTAGTTGGTTGCCAACTCGTCCATTATCGGAGGTCAACGGGCAGAGGAAGTGGTCCCATTTTGCGCGTTTTTGACGGATTTCTTTGCTTTTTTCGCTACTAGGGCATTATTCAGCATCTTCACTTCCACTATGAGCACAACAGAATCCTATCAATCCCCCATCACAATGGGACAACAAAAAAGCACACACATCCTATGCTATCTTCTCGCTTTGAATAATAAGTCGAATGGAGGATTCTACTTTGATGCGAAGCATTAGGTCCCACTGGAAATTAGGTCAAAGATGGTCAGCGAGGCAAGAAAAAAGAAAAAAGAGAAAAATGGAACCCAAGAAATAGGAGGACCTCTTCCTTGTTAACTGATTTGAGCATTGATGTGTCTCTCATCGGTGCTGCCCTCATCAGCGCTAACGCTCCCTCTGCTGAACGGCTACAGACCCAGACACGAGAGGACGCGGGAGGTGGGGCGTAGCGGGTCAATAGAGCGCCAACGCCGGTATACCATGCCAGATCGCCTCATGAGGCAATCTATGCAAATTGCGTGCCGTTCTATCCCCTTAGGAGTTCGCCTGTCCCTTCACGAGGTGAGTTCCCTTCTTTGTCCTTATCGTGGAACGCCACGAGTCGGGAATAGGCCGCCAAAGCAGTCCCTCTCAGAATAAGGTCCCGAACTCAGGAGGCGTTACATTGTCGCGACTCAAAAGCTCGAGACAACGGTGTTGACTCGTTTGCTACCGTACTGCCACCTCTATCAATGGCGGCATACGTGGCGTGACGCCCTCTCGCGAACGACATACTCTCCCACATTTTCCCAATTGCAGCGCTTCGTCTCTCCATCATACCACGGCCGACTTCACAGGGTAAATTGCAAAATTTTCTATGCGCTTTTTGCTTTTGTTCCCACCCACGTTCTTCATCGCACTTCTTGTCAAATTCTTGATCAAGAAAATGATCGAGTAGCCTTTCAACCTCATTCTGATTTCGAAATGTTGTTATTTTAGAGTTACCGTGACCCACATCTAGACTCCTCCGGGACCGCAAGTTTGTTGGAACAAAGATGTATGTAATAAATTAAATGAATACAGTGTTTGAAATAACTGATGTCGTCCCTAGACCTCATCTATGAGAGCACTCAAACAGACCTGAAAACATCTCCCTGCAGCGTGGCGCTGACTAGTTGTAAGAGCCATACGCATTGCCAATTGAGTCCACACTACTGGTAACAGTGGAATGGAGGGCAGCACAAGTTCGGCCAAATGGCGAACCTAAATGGTCAAAATGGTCAAAAGTGCGATATACTTGACCCAGAGAATTTCAGTCGCCTTACTAAGCAGGTGAGTTGAGCAGCACTAGGCACTTTCCAACAGCGCGGCGTCGCATCTTCGTTAGCCCACAGAGGGCAATCCATGCTAAACGAAAAAAAAAATTAGAAATTGAAATAAAAAGAAGCATTTTAAACGTCATTCTGAAATCTATATCCGGGGGCGGGAAGCGTTGAACATGTACTTTCAATAGAAGAACGATCTGACGTATAGCTTCATACGACAAGCATCACTTTTATACACGAGTTTAGCAAATCACAATATAAATACTTCTTGAAGACAACTAATCACGCTCTTTTTGCTACACAATGTAGCAGTAGTATGTGAAAATTCTCTTGAGTGGTCTATTCTTTAGTAGATGGTTGGCTCTGGAGTTAATGGTAAGGCGTGGTTCAGGGCGCTATCCCAACCGAGTCCATAAACTATGAAATCCTATTACTGACCTTGTCTAGTCGGCAGTGGATGGATAGCGGAAGCTCCTTCCAATCTTATAATATCTAGATAGTGTCACGGGTAACGAGCTGACAGATCCCAATTTTGAGGCAGAGGGTTATTTTCCCACTCATGAGTTTTGAAATTTTCATCTCTAAAGGCATTATTATCCCCTCATGCAATGAATAAGATGAGTTTTCGTATGAATAATCAAAACTTACTTTATCACTGAGGCAGAATTAACGAGAGCCTGATTAGTCACTCTGTAGCGAGAACAAAGTATTGCTGTTGAGAAGCATGCTCCGGTACTCCTCAGCAGCCACTTTCGCAAAGGTAGGTGAGGCACCCTCTTGCAGCAACTACAGTCGCAGAAATGACACTGCAGACGTTTTGACACCATAGTCATCAGTAGTTGAGCGACCCATTTGGTGCTTCAATAACATCCCCGAAACATGCGCTAAGGTAGTCTGGTCTGCATGCAGAAGAGAGATATTGATGATAGTCTGAAAAAAACCGTTCATAGGAAGCACATAGAAAGCTAGAGACGCCTGACACCTACCTGTCTAGCATGTCGACAGAGGGCTGGACGAAGTGAATCAAGGGAGAGCACGGCCGCATGGAGCAATCGTGGAGTGGCTTCGGTCCAGTCCACATCAGATGATGCTCGTATTATGTCACAAATCAGAAGCAATGAAACCTGACTCCTGCAATCGCACTCAGAACTAGTCATTCCAAAATGCAACTGATTCGAAGGTTCTGCAATTATGTTTAAAACCCAAATTACATAAAGATAGTCCACCTGGTGAAAAACTGAACAGGCTGGGTTGTCGGTGGAAGATATGTGCAAAGCCTTGAATAATATCCCCCGTAAGCAGGCATCGGAAGGAGACGAACGCCCTCTTTGCTCGCATCTTCGGAAGCAGCAGCAAAGCGATCACCCATGGGAGAATCTCTCATCGGCGAAACAACTTCCACAACAGAATCCTATGATGGGACATCAGCGGATTATTTCGAGAAGAAAATGGAGAGTGACATTGACAATCTAACCTTTTTTGTTTCAGCGTCATCTTTCCACCGGTAATATGGAGGTATATCAGATCTTTCAAGAGTATGACGAGCGTTGTCCACAGAAGAGGACAACTGCTCCAGTAACAAAGCAGCAATACGATTTCCCACCACACCAGCTAATATGACGCTTACTCGTTTCGCCTACGATTGTAAGGATTTCACATAAGGAAAACAGCCATTGGAATTTAATATGAAAAAAAAACGAAAAAAATCATAACTAACAACAGTATTACTTACATAAGGTAAAAGCGCCTCATGTGACAGGACCGTCACTACGTAGAGATAGTTGAGAATCACTGGCAAATTTGCAGGATACGATAGAGCAAGTGCACGCCAAAGGTCAGCCAATTCGTGCTCATGGTCGGGAGCCAAACATATCGTCAGGTACATGAGATTGTTCAGAAGCAATTGGGTAGCTTCCTCAGATCCCCATCCACGAGGGCCTGAATCATTCGTCACTTCATAGTGCATGTAAGATTGTGAGATTGTCACCTGTTACTTTTAAAGACTTGTGAAGACTTTACACACTGTTGAATCTCACCTTCACATGCGTCTTCGCCAGCCATCGGATCAACGAGCTCGATGTTCTCCACCCACGCATGCGCAGTAGAAGGATATTAAATAGGTTCTATCTGACGTCGTGCCCTTTCAGCGCCCCGACTGAAACTTTTCCTGAAAACAGGAAACCGACAAATTAAGAACAGCAGCTCGTGTAAAACTAGCGGTGGAACAAAATGAACGCTATTCAACAACTCCGTTTAAACTATATAAAAACGGGACATGTCGACGTCCGATTCAGCTTTTTTGATTACGGGCCTAGCTTTATCTCAACGTTTACGGACTCTTGAGGTTTCCTCAGTGGTTCCGACACGATGGCTTGGACACGGACGATTAGAGGACGGCACTTAGCGCAGCTGCTAACGGTGCCAAACGGGAGATACGTGAGCTAGGGGAGCGAGGGCAGTCCAAACGAAGGAGGAAAGTGCGAGAGCCACTTCCCCATGTGACAGTAAAAGTTTGAACGTGCGAGGTCACTATAGTGGTAAACCACCATTTAGGTGAAAGGGCGCGGGCGAGAGCAGCACACTGACTGATCCAAAGGACGGAGTTGAAGTAGCCCGCAGATGATTAAAGGACCGTATGTATTCAAGGGCTTTGGGAGGGTTGGGAGTAATATGTTTGAGAGTTGCACATTATAAGCTTACCGCTGAATATAGTGATGGCTAAGGGTGGATAGAGTTTGCGGCATTATTTCGAGGAATGGAGAGTGACATATTGACAATCTAACCTTTTTTGTTTCAGCGTCATCTTTCCACCGGTAATATGGAGGTATATCAGATCTTTCAAGAGTATGACGAGCGTTGTCCACAGAAGAGGACAACTGCTCCAGTAACAAAGCAGCAATACGATTTCCCACCACACCAGCTAATATGACGCTTACTCGTTTCGCCTACGATTGTAAGGATTTCACATAAGGAAAACAGCCATTGGAATGTAATATGAAAAAAAAACGAAAAATCATAACTAACAACAGTATTACTTACATAAGGTAAAAGCGCCTCATGTGACAGGACCGTCACTACGTAGAGATAGTTGAGAATCACTGGCAAATTTGCAGGATATGATAGAGCAAGTGCACGCCAAAGGTCAGCCAATTCGTGCTCATGGTCGGGAGCCAAACATATCGTCAGGTACATGAGATTGTTCAGAAGCAATTGGGTAGCTTCCTCAGATCCCCATCCACGAGGGCCTGAATCATTCGTCACTTCATAGTGCATGTAAGAAGCTAGCATTAACTCGCTCTATACTTTTAGGAAAGATTGTGAAGACTTTACACACTGTGAATTCACCTTCACATGGTCTTGCGCCAGCATCGGTAATCGAAAGAGCCTCGATGTTCTTCCACCACGCATGCGCAGTAGGGATATTTAATAGGTTCTATCTGACGTGCGTGCCCTTCGAGACCGACTGAAACTTCCTGAAAACAGGAAACCGACAATTAAGAACAGCACTCGGTGTAAAACTAGCGCGTAACAAAATGAACGACTATTTCACCTCCGTAAACTATATAAAATCGGGACATGTCGACGTCCGATTCGTTTTTTGATTACGGTGTAGCTCTTATCTCAACGTTTACGGACTCTTGAGGTTTCCTCAGTGGTTCCGACACGATGGCTTGGACACGGACGATTAGAGGACGGCACTTAGCGCAGCTGCTAACGGTGCCAAACGGGAGATACGTGAGCTAGGGGAGCGAGGGCAGTCCAAACGAAGAGGAGGAAAGTGCGAGAGCCACTTTCCCATGAGACAGTGAAAGTTTGAACGTGCGAAGTCACTATAGTGGTAAACCACCATTTAGGTGAAAGGGCGCGGGCGAGAGCAGCACACTGACTGATCCAAAAACGGAGTTGAAGTAGCCCGCAGATGATTAAAGACCGTATGTATTCAAGGGCTTTGGGAGGGTTGGAGTAATATGTTTGAGAGTTGCACATGATATAAGCTTACCGCTGAATATAGTGATGGTAAGGTGTGGATAAGAGTTTGCGAGATTCCGGCACACTGCTTGCTGATCCATCGGCAAACAGTGAGTATGAGTGTCGGGAACAACTGTAGGTCTTAGTTGAACGTTTGGTGTGACGTTATTAGAAGCCGGTACTAATTGCGGCGATACCACCATGCTGCTGAAAACAAAAGTTTATGGAGTCGGAGAAGGAACGTTCCGAGAAAATCGTCTTACTTGTCGAGGAATTGCCTCTTGAGGATTTCGATCATGTGCACAGCAGCATCTGTTACAGCCGGATCACCAAGCATTGCTTGACAAAGGACGAAAAGAGAAATGAATTCACACGGGAAATCACGCTTCGAGAAAACACGGACAAGAGCTCGAAAGCATCTTGCCGCCACAACACTCGGTTGTGAATAGCACTGCGACATCAGCCAGTCCAACAAATGACTGGATTCATTTAACTCCAACATCCAAGCTAGCATTTCTTCAACCTCTCCTTGCATCTGAAGTGAAAAACAGACTTGATTGTCGAGAATATAAATGGAGGGACTTAAATGGCAGATGATCAAAAAGATGGTCAAAAAAGGCTAGTGATCTCACCGTTGCGTTGGCACTCGACACAAGCTTTTCCAGCCAACCATAAAGGTAACCATCTTCACCAATGGATTTCTGTGTTTCGAATATTCGCCCACAACTCAGCAAACGAGTCATCGCCAAAGCTGCTTTTTGTTCCACATATGACCCAACCTAAACGATAAAGTTTCATAAGGCAACAATGGAGTTCTCAGTGTCAAAAAGATCTCTTTTAGACACGAAGCTTTTTCCTATCTGCGACAGACGCGGCAGCATTCAGGAGCCCAATTCCTAAAGCATTCATGCTTTCACAAACTCCTTCTGAACAGAAGGAGTTTGCGAAATTAAGTATATTCTGTTCAAATTCATCATCACCTACATCATTTTCACGATTTTTCTTGTCGGCTGCGATTGTACGGCTGCACCATCCGATGAAAAGGTAGAACAGGCTCTGTTTCTTGTCGTCCGGAATCAGGTTACCTCTATTCTCAGGAGAAACATTGTCAATCAAAACTACAATCAGCTTCGAAAAATGAAGCCGCATCATTGTCACCACTGCAATGTCACGATCCTAAATGACTAAAATCAACAAAAACGCAACAAAAATGATCAAATGGAAGGAGCATACCAGGTCGCTCTCAAGATTGGCTCTCATGGCGTCTATGAAGTCCAAAATCAAAGGGCTCAAATTACCGTTGAGATCAATTAATGTGGAGTCCAGAAGCCCCCGAAATATTGCAATCTGAATCATTTAGTATTTTCGCAAATTCAACAAACTACTGGCAAAGCGTCCATTAAAACACACAGACCTCAATGATGCGAATAATTTGGAGTCTCAGGAGATCCTTTCGTTTACGCCGTCGCACATTTGTCTCCATCTGGAATACGAATACATAACAAAAAGGAAGACACCACAAATGATGGAAACTACCTTTTTCTCCATCGCGTCCCTCAATATGCCTCGCTGATTGAGGTCTTCTAAGAATGTTTCAAACGCCACAGCATTCAGGGACCCAATTCCTAAAAGCATTTAAGCTTTCATAAACTCCTTCTGAACGAAAGGCAAATGGATGTTATTGAAGTTGTGCGGGAAAGATCAAAATTGAAGCACTCGCAATTCATCGACACAATGGTAATCCTACACACTATAGGACCGGGAAATGTAAGTGCAACAGCAGAAATATATGAATTTCGCAAAACCTCTAGAACTAGACTCAAAATTACTATCCAAGTTAGCCTTCCATTAAAATTAATATCACAGAATATGGAGGGAAGGATATATCGAAAGGAGAATTCCGCGCAGCCTCAAAACTGATCGAAACCCTTCAAGCAAGAAACTAACCGAGAACAACGCTATCACGAATATCGATCATATTTTCCCATCGTAGCATCGCTGCAGTTTTAGTAAACAATTGAGGAAGTGTTGCAGTAGATGAAATCCGGGAAGCCGTTCGCAATGATGTCGACACACTTCTCAGCACATCCGCTTCCATTCTAAAATTGTGCAATTTTGATCGCATTCGTGAAGAATGACAAAACAGTGAATAACTTACGACGAAGTAGGGCTGAAGCTTCTCGATATCAGACTATTGTGATTGTGTGGTGATGGTGCGAAGGCACAGCATAGCACCAAGTACTTCTGCCACAGTGAAAGGCATCCATCTTGACTGAGGGCCTCACCACATACCGAAGATCCTTTACTCTTGCTACCACGGAGTAAAGAAGCTCGATTTTCATTTTGCGGATTGCTGAACATAACTTGCTTAAGAACAAAATCAAGTAAAGCACACTCAGGCAACTAATATACGTAAAAGTTGGATTCAAGATCTTGGAAAAAAGGAGCCAAAAATGGCAGTCACCTGGGAAGCGCAATGATGCATATCACTACTAATGGTAAGATTACTATTTCGAAGCTACAGCTATAACTAACAAATGCTAAACTGCATGCAGCATTTCATATAATCTCGTCAATGTGCCTGTAAAAGCGACTAGATGTGGAAAATTCGCCTACCTTGGATCTACATACGCGTTCACGGCCATCAATCTACTGAACAGTGTAGGCCAAGCATTGGCAACGGCCGAAGGACACCTAGCAAGGATTATTCTAATAAGATCATCTTTACTTTCGTTGCGTAAATGTACCTCGAAATAAGATGTTTCCTCTCCGCATATCCGCTCAGCGCACAAGCCCATGGATCCCATTGCAGATATTCATTACCTTTATCGCTGTTCACCTTAACAACTTTTTCATTCGACGTAAATTACACTCACAGATTGAATAAAGGTCTCATGACTTACTAAGCACACGTCAGAGTCAATGGCAGCAACTTTGTCACAAACTGAAGTGAAATCGAGATTCCAACTCGTCTGAAATATTTCGTAACCTTTTAGAAGCCAAATTAGCACTACAATAATCAACCCTTCACATAAGTGATAGTTCCAAAGCGGAAAATCGAATAAAATGAGAACGACTGACTCTTTCGTAGAGAGGAACATGCTCAATATATTTGCGAACAACGTATGGCGTAGCTTCATCAAGAACGTTTATAACGGGCGTGTCTGCGTTCTATAATGAGTGGCTTTCCTAACAAAAAAGGTATGGGGCTGAATTTTATTTAAAAAAAAACTCACATCGAGGGCCAAAATGGATATGATCTGTTTCACTTCTTTCAGTAAAGAGATAGCGATTTTTTTCGGCTGAGGTCTGAACGAAAGTGCTCTTAGAAATGCTGAAAAATGTTAAACAGAAAAGAATACGCAGACACCACTCACCTAATCTGACATAGCATCACTAGAGCCATTCCTTCCACAGCATGTAGAACGGACGCATAGTTGAGGTAATACAGAGGAGGAACCACGTGAGCATTTTCGATTGGATTTGGATCCTTCGAAAAAAAGAAAACCTCAAGCAAGCCGTGGTAGTACAATGTAGTGCTGTAGAATTCATGTGCATGTGACTAATCGTCACGAAATTGAAGAAAAATATAAAAATGTTACTATGATGCCTCCCAAAGAGAGAGTCAAAAAATCCAGAACGGTAATAGAGCGAACAAAAACAAGCATATGTTTATGTATAAGTGCTCCAAATAATGCTACAGGCCAAACGTTGTTGTGCGCCTCTTGAAAAAGCAATTGTCAGTGAATTTTACCCTGAGGTTGTGGACAAATTTACCTTTTCTTGCTCTTTCTTCTTCTCCTGCAAAGCTGCTGACTTCCATGTAACGACCATTTGATGTAAAAGGCGAAGCGCTTCATCAAGCACAGCAGGATAGAAGTCCTAAAACACATTTCCACTGGAAATACGCAAGAATCTTTGAAGGCAAAGTGAAAAATAATGCCAAAGAATTACCGTCAATTGGCTGTGCAACAAGGTTATCTCGGCTATTATTATTTGCTCACGCCACTCCGGAAATTCTCCAAGCATATTCTGGAGAGTGTTTCCAGCCATCGTTCTGAGTTCTTCATCGACGTGGACTGTTGTTCTTGTTAGGATATCTATGAGCTCCTAAAGAAATCAATGCAAAATATGAAAGGGGACATGCTATATGAGGCATTAATCGACATACAGAATATGTCATCGGTTCCGGTAAGAGCCGTGGAATGGCAGCAACACAAGTGCGGAACAGGTCCAACTTTGGCTTCACATCTCCTCTGAAGTGCTCATGTTCAAACGGAAATTGCACATAATCATATATTCTTAAGTTATAAGTATGCTGAGTTATAGGCGAAAACATTTTGGCCCAGCCAAAAATAGAGAACACCCTTCTCAATGTTCCTCTTGGGGGAGCAGTGCTTTGCCCTCAACTCAGCATTTGTCGACTTTGACACTTTCACCAGACTGCGACGAAATGCAGTATCGAACGAAGAAGAACAAATAAAAAATGCAGTTCTTTTGATTACTCGAAAAGGTATATGTAAAGGCTTACCCTAACAGTTCCTCCGGTTCTTTCCCTCGTTGGATAGCAGTCATCATGAGAGGGCGACCAACCTGGAAAAATGTGTTAAGCTGGAAGTATGAGACCTATTCCAATGAGTTTTGTGTGAAAAATAAGCCAATGGCGCTGCTTGCAATTTACCCACAAGGAAGTCACCAAGTCACACGACCAATTAAAGTACGGTGCATTCGTTCTAAGATACGAAGCTCGGAATTGCTTCGCATGTCTGTTTGTTAATTCCCTGGACGGAGTCATAAGAGCGAAAAAAGTGCTGCGGTATTGGTATGTAAAGACATTTCCGAGAGGTGAGTATAACAGAGCAAGGCCAACAGCGCGGCAAATACTTCCAGAAGTTCATCCAAAAATCGCTCAGAGGACAAGAAAAGCGGATCTGAACTTGGCATCTCTAGGCGAATGGAGCGGTTCAAAGCCTTTCGAACTGCCGCGTTGGTTCAAATAATCTCCCCTTAAAAGTCCATATAGAAAATGCAAAGCATAGCAAAAACATCAAAACCTAAACAGTATAAAAAGTGCAAGCTTCTTACCTGCGATGCCAAATTCGGAGCGGATGGAATCAAAAGCTTTGCGACAAGGTATATAATACTGATCGAGCCCAATTGATCTTGCAATGTCAACCGTTAGAGGACGAGTAATGTAAGTTTTCTTTTTCAGCCGCTGCATAGTCCCACTTGCTGACGGACCTAAACAAAACTTAGCTACCTTCGTCAAAAGGAGCACACGTTCGAAAACATAAAACCGCCTCAGCAAGCCCCTCGCCAAGATGGTGGAGTAGAGCAAACATTACGTGTAACCCATTGCGTCCCACGCGAGGACTCCAATCAGGTGCATAGTACGGTGCTTATTTTCTCAAATACATAGCACTCAAGTAATAAGGGGGATTGTGGTGAACCAACTAGAGAATAGAACGCAAAATCTCATTATTCTCGTGAAGGTGTAAGTCGAAGTCAAAGGGCTGTGATGGGCCAATAAGTTAGCGCCGCTTACCAATGCGGCGCGTGTGAGTTAAGTCCTTGTAATTACCCTGTCAGGATCAACCGAGCATTTCATCCCCAGGGTCGATCCGGGTTTATTAATAATAACAAACTTGTATGGGAAGATAAAGACATTGACTTCCGCATAGGTTGACCCCCCAAGTCACGGTGTAGACCAATTCGCATTCAAGTGCCATCACGATTTTGAATGGGAGTAGTATGCGTGGCGCATCCCAGAAAAAACACGGTACAAAATGGGTTGGGAAGGGAATAAATTCTTATCTCCGTAAGAGCAGGTTTCAACACGATGAGTAGTATCGAAAATGATTGAGCTAACCCATTGATTTGGGCATAGCCGGCGGCTCGTCTTTCTGCTGGAGGCCATCAGCGATTACCATTAAAGCACGAATTCCGATATTCATCCTCTCAGGATAAAGAGACCTTTGCGATCGGTTGCAAGCCAAGAGATCAAATATCACATCCTTCAAGAAGAACGCCTCATAAGCGACAACAACGTAACAATCAGTAAAAATTTTCGCAAACAACCTACTTTGAAAGCAAAGTCCAGCTTCTGCTGAGCTATGAAATGGATAATTTTTACGAATATATTCAAGGGCGCATCTCTTGGGACGATTCCACGATTGCCTTTTGGGAACAGACTTCCGCATATTGACTCCAGCCTAGTACGGGTTGCTGAATTACCATCACAGTTGTTGCGAATCATATAGACCCTGAAAAGATCGAAATGGGACGATCGCTCCGAAATCAAAGATATCCAAAAGCTTCGTACCAAAGTAATCTGTACAAAGATTCCAGAGCAACTCGCGATATTCGAGAATCCCTGTTCTTCAGATTGGCGAGGGTATTATTTAGAAAAGGAACCCAATTAGTCAAAAAGAATTGGCGCTGGCTGACGCAAAGCAGACAAGTTAGTAGAGGATAAGCGGCCTGAATAGATGATTGACTATATCTCGCAAGAAACAGAAAATGGCGAGAGTCGTACCAGCTTGTGCTGCTTTTTTGAAGCCAATTCACTTGTTGGTCCATATAATTTGCCAACAAAGGCAATCAGGGCAGGTATATTAGCTTCACGCTTGATTTGCTAAAGCAATATAGATTAGTAAATAAAATGAGATGAGATAGAGGTGAGTAAACACAAATGTAAGGGTGCACCTACCGCAGCAACAGGCAGAAGAATCTCCACAAGAAGGCCTGCTACAGCGTGTTTAACATCCTGCAACAGCATGAGAAAATGCGGACAAGAACAAAAATAGCAGTCACCAAAACCAACCTTATCTTTCACTTCTAACAGGAAGGATCCGAGGTCATCCAGAAATTTTATTCCCATTTCAAAGTCATCGACTTGATTCGTCTGGAAAAATGAGAAGGCTTACAGACACGAGGTTATCCTGGGAGGAAGTAAATGTCGACGACCATTCGTAGAGTGTGCTTGGTATAGGACCGCGTACATCTTTGTATACATATCTGAGGGATGTCCCAGTTTCTGGGAAACAACTCCGTCAGCTACAATTGAAGACCATGCGATTGCATATCGACACGGAACTACTCCTCACTCAAATAGCAGAACGGTTGGGTGCACCCCAACACTGTCACAACTCAAGCCGAAAACTGCCAAGACTGCTTGGCCCCAAAAAGCACACAAAAATCGTCTGCTCGACCAGACTGGGTTCGGGTTCAAGCTAGAAAAGCCTGAAATTTTTGCTCTAGAATCCGACGAGGGAGACATGGATCTCTCTATCAAAATAACTACTTTTATAACATTGAAAAACGTTACAGTACACTGACTGTCTGCACAAAAAAGTTTCACATCGATGAAAAAAACAAGGTTCACACCATAGAATCACTTTCATGCACTCACTAAGTGAAACTCGTCTTAAAATTTCTGCATGAATGAGAGGAGTGGCTCTGTATCGAACTCCATCGTCCCGCGCAGCAAAAGGATGTCGTCCGTCATAGGACATTGTCGTCAACGTGTTAACGACATTTTGAAAAAAAAACTCACTTTGATTTTCACAAATTTCATCGCCATAAGAAGAGAGATCAGATTGTGAGTGACAGCTGCCGAGGTATCCTTCCTCAGTTCAGATAGTATGCTCATAAACTGCCTCAAACAACAAGGACTCATCGCGGCACACAACAAATAAAGGCAATTAGATATTCTAATAACTCCTACCTATGGATGTGCGTGAAATGAGTTTCCGATAAAACTCCGATCACCTCAGCGTAAGTCTCAGCAACAACAAGACTATTCGTGTTATTCACCCCCAATACAGCACTGAAAGATAACTGTAATTCTGGGGTCTCAGTAAAAGGTGGAGTGCCGCCTACACAGATTCCTTCGACCTGTTACTAATGCAATAAAAAACAGCTCACGGATCTTTATACTGCACTTGTTGAAAGGAGCTGTCAAGAAGGTATTTGACTTGCTGTTCACATGCTGACAAATGAAATTCTACCTGGAATGTTTCTGTTTGACCTTGGGAAAGTAGCTGCTATTCATATTAGCAGAGCTTATACCTAGAGGACAAACCTGTGGAAGAATTTCGATAAGAACGATACAAAACAAATAGTTTACTGCAAGTAACTTTTTCACAAGTTTCGTGCGGCCGTCGCTTCTTAAAAGAAGTTAATTACGAGAATGTCAAAAAGTTATAAAACCAGACTCACCCTGGATTCATGCTCTCGTTTATTTTGAGCTCCATTCGTTGGTGCCACCCTATTAGAGCACTTACAACCGATGGAAGGCATAGCTCACTTATTCCATGCAATGTATGGCATAAATTGTCGAAATAAGGGTCACCACCGCGTTGCAGAGACTTGTTGAGTAGCTTTTCCTGAACCTTTTCAATACACGGACATTAAAAATTTTTTAGTCATCACAAGCTCCCACTTATTTTTGCAAAATTCCAGAGTCGAGGAACTCGTACCACAAGGGGTTTAAGCAGGCCTGGCTCATGGTATAAGACACTTGTAAGCAAGCATGCAAAGAATCTGTCTTCAAACGTGTAATCACTCACAATCGGCTCTTCTTCAATGACAGATTGCAATTTTCTTTCGAATAGACTGAATAAATCCAGGAGAACCGATTGTCCTGCGAATGAACCAGTAGGAAGGTTGTAGTCCAATACCACCACTGGTACCACTTTTTGAAGACCCCATGGTAGTTCCGCCGCCACTGTTCTGCAAAACCACATCAGTGTGACTCGAAAAAAAAAACTTAACAAGGCGCAAGCCTACAATTTCTCCTGAGCAGGACGGAATGGAAGTGCAGGATCGCTTTTTCGTCGGCCGTTTCTGTTTCGCTGGGTCATGAAGTACCGCTGCTGCCTTGGAGAGGATGAACTAGCGCTCGAAGGCCAACATGTGACCTGAACACGCACAACATGTGACATAAGTGCATGAAACGTGATATTTTAACAAAGCTAGCTTTTATCAGAACAATATTCCAACAATCGCAAAGGATAACACGGTAAATCCAGCTTCTATTGATGTAAGCCTTGAAGGCTCCGACTTCGGAGTGTTCCGTCTGTAGCTGCACTAAACACTTGCCATTGTACATCGTGAGTTTATTCGGTTGCACAGGTACATGTCAAGCGATTGGAAGCTGCGTGTATTTTTGGACGCAGTTCTTTCATTTCCTAACTAACAAGTTTGGCGTATGTACCAAGGGTGGGAAATTTCGATACAGAGCACCAAAAGTAAACCAGGACCATGAGGAATTGGCCTAATCTTAAGGGGGTTCAGGAAGAAGTGTGACACCTGGGAATTGAATACTTCTTGAAGATGCGAAAAAGAAACGAAGCTCACAGCACTTTTAGAGGGTTCCTTGCCAATCTGTTGTGCCAAAGTACAGTTTCATGAAGATCAAAAGCCTCGCACTGGTCAACCGTCCGTTATGAGTTCAAATGTAAGGGAGAAGGGCGGGTCGTCTTTGGCCCACGGAGAAGGGGGCATAAGTGAGAGCACATGTTAAATAACTGCAGTTCAAATGAACTGGTTTGCATGTGGAGGCTGGGGCTTCCCTCATAACGTCATAATCATCAGAATTGCTGACCTTCACAAGTTATGGGTCGACGGACTTACTTTGGACTACTTGAACTCGGCCCTTTAAGCTGCCTCACTCGACGCTTTCGTCTGCGCTCTCTCATCTTATCAGCGGCTGATCACCACTGCGATCTCACACATTCAAACTTTTGCCACAATGCAATTGGCTCACCCACCTCGGATTCCCTCCCCCTTACAAGGCTTAGTCCTAAGGCTCTCACCTCCCTCCTTGGGATTTGGAGCCGAGCCAGGCGCCATTCTCTGATCGTCTGTGCTCTCC